ATACCAATACACATAAAAAAATTAAAAATGAAAATAAAAACAAAAAAAGAAAACCTTTTTTATTTTTCTTTTTTGTGTTTTGGTTTGGTTTGGTTTTTTTTTTTTTTTTTTTTTGAGACAATGTTTCTCTGTGTAGCCCTGGCTGTCCTGGAACTCCATCTGTAGATCAGGCTGGCTTTGAACTCACAGAGATCTCTTTGCCTCTGCCTCCCAAGTGTCAGAACTAAAGGCATGTGCAACCACCACCCTGCCAGAAACTTTTGTTGTTGTTTTTTTTTTTTTTTAAATATGTAGCCTGAGTCTTTCCCATCAAGGCTGGTCCCTACTTTTGAACAATCACTCTCAGAAACCACTGGGGAACACGACACTGGCTTCCCTTCACCAACATACTTTTCCTAAGGAAACCCAAGTAAGAGACAGGGTCCTTTTCTAGAGGGGGGTGATTTTATACTTTGGGTGAGAGCTACAAGGAGTCTTCTGAGAGATGACAGTCCAGAGGGTAATGGGATATCTTCTTTGGTCAGAAATTGGGGTCTAATACCAGCCATGCCCAACGACAATGGAAGGGATCGTTAAAGTCAAAACAACCATGGAGAATGTTTGCCTGAAAAGCAGTCACTATATACGGGGACTAACTTTGTCACAAGGTATTTTAGGAAGAGGAGAGGGCAAGGTGAGGAGAGGGATGGGGAGGAGGGGACAAAGAAGAAGGAGGACCTGTGCCCGGAAGTTCTTGCTTATCCTTCCCTCAGAACAACTTTCCAGGGCCTGGGTTGTGAACTCTACCCAACTCTAACCTTAGTGTGCACAGAAAATCTGGTTCTTCAAGGGAATGAGGCTAGTCCCAGGAGTTGTGAGCCCCTGAAGGAGGCACGTCATGGTAAGAGACAAGCCTGGGCCCTGTGCTTGTTCCAAAGGCGGCAGAGGTAAAGCCTTTTTCAGCCCCCTGCAACCCCCGGTGGTGGTGGTGTGACCCCAAAGTAGAGACACACAGACCTGGATGACAGCACATTACAAGTGGGCATGGGTTTTTATTCTCAGTGCATGGCATTGGTTTCTGTTCATCAGCAAAAAGCTTTATTGGTTCCAAAAAGTTACCCACTTTAAAACTCCTTTTCTTCCCGTGTCAGCTGGATAACACATTTGCAGTATAGATTTGTCAGTTTATAGCATCCCCCCTCCCAAGAACCATATAAATACATGCAAAACATTATACATAGAGCTTAAATAATATCAATTGCAAATACAGACTGGGTGCACTGTTCAGTTGAACTGCAAACTATGGCAATACACGCTAGGATATACATTGCTTTGATATCATAATGTCTGTCATGCAGACCACAAAAGTCAATTTTCTCTTTTTTTTTTCTTTTTGTTTTGTACAAAAATACCAGTGCTCATTATACTAGTTACTGAGAAGAAACTCAAAATTCCTATCTGCATGCCGATTAGAAAAGATGATGTAGAACAATTTGTTGGCACATATATGGCATATTTACATATGGCATATATACATATGGGCAGAAAATACAGGCCAAAGGCCAATTCAGTTGCAGGGACTCTCACCTCCCTTCACCTCTCCCAACCAAGAAGAAAAGGGGCAGCAGGCTGAACTGCAGACCTGGGAAGGCAAAAGTTCTGGCTCTGAGATAAATGGAAGGGAGGGAGGGATATCTGGTCTATTCCGAGGAGGGGGCTGGAATGGCTTTAGAACAGCAGGCATTGCAAGTGCCCACCCCTACCAGTGCCATGGGGTGGACCCTAGATGCAGAAAGTGATTGAATGTGCAGATTGGGTGGTGCCACAGGTAGCTTCAACTGTAAGGCAAGGGGAATGGGAAGAAAGAGACGGATCTGGGAGAGGACTCGGGCACACTCAAGTTCCCTTGGGTTTTCGGCAGTGAGGCAATAATCCCTCTGATTGATCTTTGCAACTCTCCTCTAAAGCTTGAAGGTAAAAAGAAATCCACTCCCGAGGAACCCATCAGTGCCCAGAGGGCTTCTAGCTGGTCTCTCCTACAACTTTTGGGATGTGAAAAGTACTATAATAAAAGACACGGAAGAACTTTTGAGAAGGACCTAGTCCTGAGACTGTCACACAGAGCTAGAAGTAGCCATTGCGGTTACTTTGATCTTTTCCAGTTCAGAGCTCTGGCTCCCATCTGCTGTAGCATACAAAAACAGCAGGTTGTTACAACTCCGAGTCATACACAGAAGAACCTCACTAATGGGGTCTCTCTGGGGAGAGGAGAAAGGGAAAGAGGCATAGAGAAATGCACATCAGAGTGCCCTTGCTGACCAGGAGAGACCATCTGTCATTGATACTACTCTGCCTGTTAATGTTAATTCCTCAAGAAACAGAAACCCAACTGATCCTCACTCCTGAGTACCAGCAAGCCTGGCTCTCCTCCAGGCCAGCATCCATCCGTGGCCCACCAGCTAAGGAGCCTCTGTGTGGGAGTTTTCCTCTCTACCTGCAGGTGCTTACTCGTTTGTCCAAGTTTATCAAAAGAAGGCTCTAGGATATATTCTCTCCCCATCAGACCTCTTTCAAATCCGAAGCACCATTTATGGGAAAGTGTCATTAACTTCTGTCATATTTACTCACTGCCACCTGGATTACTGAAACTGAATAGAAAAAAAAACATATAAAAACGTATGCACAGAAACACTTGAACTTACTCAATTCCGTATCAACAAAATTTATATTAAAAAAGTCTAGAACCCAACAATTTTTTTCCCTAAATATAAAGATGGCTGTTTGGAGAAAGGAAGTATGGTATATTGGTTGTTATTGTTTTTAACCAATTACAAACATACTGAGTCACTTGCCATGCCAAACAGCTGGTGGTGTGCTCCTTTCCACGGTGTGACATGGTGGCACTTTATTTGAAATTCTTTAAATAAAAAAAATATATATATGGCTGACTCATAAATGTCAGTTTCTGACCTAAAGAAAACTATATTTTTGCATAATATTTCTATATTTCCTCTTACTGTGAAAACTACAGAACACGCACACACACGGAAACTTGTTGACTTTGAAAAAGTAGACATAAGCCCTCAGGAGTAACCTGTCAGGCACCACAAGAGTCTTTTGGGAGCAAGGATGGTAAAATGGCCTTCAAAACTTGTTATTGGCTTACTTTTTAAAAATGATCTGAGGTAATAAAAGAGTTGACAGAAGTAAATCTGCTAATGTAATTAAATATATATATATATATATATTTTAACATCT